GCCCAGCTGGCCCAGGGAGTGCAGAACCTCAAAGCACACACTGGCCAGACCAGGCGTCTGATGGGACCAATGGCTCACAGTCCCTTGGGACTTCTTTGACCCTGGGAGTCAAACAGACCTCCTCAGGGCCAAGGCTCAGTGGGAATGCCACTGCTCAGGGCTCAGACCAAAACCTGCCCCCTTATCAAACAAGCACCTGTGTCCCTGATGGATGGTCACCAGCATGTGTGGAGGGCTCAGCCCCACCTTTCCCTCTTCCTGAGTGACTTCTGTGTGACAATCTCCTTTGCCCCTCTGCTGACAACCACAAATGCCTCTCTCTATTGCGCCCCCTGTCGGTCAGCATCTTTCCCTGCCTCCGGCACTTGTGCTTTCTCCAAGCGAAACTTTCTTTACGTGTGTGCCCTTTTGGGGTCTTGCTCAGGGACCACCTTCCCCTGCCCATGCAGTTCATGCTGCCCTTTCTTCTGTGGGTTTGCCCCCCTGGCCCCCAGTCATCGAGAAAGTCTCATTTGGTGATTATCTCTTCAATCTCTCTCTGGCTGGAGAGGTGAGTGGCCACCCGGATGCTGCCACTCAGAGGGCATTATTGTCTTGCCTGTGACTGTTTCTGAAGTGGTGGGGGGTAGGGGAGAGGTGACACAACGCCTAGTGCCTCCTCTGAGGCCTCCTACCTGTTTAGGTCCTGAGCACTTGCATTTCTGTCTTCCTTAGAGTCAGTCTCCTGGGAAATGGTACTTACAGAGATTGAAGAGTTTAATACATCTCTTGCTTCCTCTCTTTTCTGAGGCCCTCAGAGGGAGCTGCAGCAGCAGTGGCTGGCGAGGCCTCCAAGACGGCTGGGTGAAGGAGGAGGGGTGGCGTGGTGCCTCAGCCAATTTGGAAAGCACTGTGACCCAAGCACATCTTGCGGCAGCAGTGTCAAATTCTGCCGTTCAGGCATGCCATTAGTGTGCACACTGCCACACAGAAATCGGTGACACAAAGGCACAGGCTTCCCCACCCTCCTAGAGCTTAGAAACTAACGGCTCTAATGAGAAATGAGAGCTGAGAGGAGAGCAGTGGGGGCTGGCCCCGTCCATGCAGGCTGGTGCTGTGTGTCAGAGGAGGCTGACCCACTTCTTCAGGCAGTAAGGGGCCTTGTGGGCCGGCCCCACTGAAATGCCACTTAAATTAGCCACTGCTCCCTGCGTGAGGGTCTCCTTGGTCCACACCCCTCACTCGGTGCCCTTGGAGGGAGCCCTGTCGAACTGGCAGCACAGCGACTCTCTTTCAACCTCTTTTCTTTCTCCCCTGGAGGCATTCTCCGTCCTTCCACCCGGTGGGCTCTTCAGGGTCATGGACACCCCTGATTCCAGCAGCCCTCTTTTTTTATTTTTATTTTTTGAGTTGGAGTCTCACTCTGTCGCCCAGACTGGAGTGCAGTGGCCGCTCCCGGCCACCGCAGCCTCGACCTGCTGGGCTCCGGTGATCCTTCTGAGTAGCCGGAATTACAGGCATGTGCTACCACGCCCGGCTGATTTTTTGATTTATTGTAGAGATGAGGTCTCGCTGCCCAGGCGGGTCTCGAACCCACGGGCTCAGGCAATCCACTCACCTCAGCCTCCCAAAGGCGCGGGATTACAGGCTGAGCCACCGAGCCCGGGTCCAGCAGCCCTCTAAAGAGACAGGTGATGGCCGCGTGAGTGAGAGTGCTCAGGCGGGCATACAGCTCACTGAGCCGCTCTCTATTTTTTTCTGGCTTTTTGATTGTGCTGTGAGTTATTTAGCCAACAATAGATGTTTATGTATATTTTTTTAGCGCTCGTATTTATTAGCAGCCTGAGAAGGAGGAGACCGGGAGATTTACACTGAAAGCGCAGTGAGTTAAAAGGGACAATTAGAGGAGCAGAATAAGATATTGAGCATAGAGTTGTAAAGGATATTTTAACGCACAATCAAAGGTTCTTGAGATATTTTCCAAGTAGACAGAAGGTAAAAGAAAATTGGCCCATTACGAGCTGATGGTGGGGGATTGGTGACATGGGATGGAAGTCCCGGCTGATGTGTGCAGAATTCCTCCTTAGAGGACGGTGAGGCTAGAGGGCCAGATGGGGCTCTGAGCCGGGTCAGGAGGCTTTAGAACAGGTATTGGAGGCTGGGCACAGCGGTGCATGCCTGTAATCCTAGTACTTTTGAGAGGCTGAGGCAGGAGGATTGCTTAAGCCCAGGAGTTCAAGGGTGCAGTGAGCTAGGATTATGCCATTGCACTCCAGCCTGGGTGACAGAGTGAAGCCCTGTCTCTAAAAAAAGGGACCCCATCAAAAGTGCACCCGCCCTTCCTCAAAGACTGAACACAGAAAGGCTGGCTCCTCTAGGTCTGTGCAGAGCAGGGCCTGGGGGAGCTGGGTCCGTCTGCCCAGAGGAGGGGTCTGCTCAGGGACAGGTGGGGACAGCCTGGGAAGTTGGTGCGTATGTGAGGGAGATTCTGCTGAGGCTCCCATGGCTCCAGGGAGCCTCCTCAGCAAACTCCTCGCCTCTGACCCCAGGCCCTGCAGTCGGCCCTCCAAGAGGCCTTCCAGGCTCTCCCGGCTTCCTCAGACCTGTTCGCAGACCTATCTGGAGCCCGACTTGCAGCGGTAGCAGAGCGCTGGGTGATTAGCTGGGTGATGAGTAAACATTTGCTAAATGGGATTGTTGGCTCTTGTCACGAACAGCCCTAGCAGGTGGGGAAAGGGGGAGACGCAGTTGGCGGGAGGGGTTCTGGGGCTGGCTGATGGTCAGAGTGGGCACAGGCAGAAGTACCGAAGGGAATGTCTAGGGAGGCTGCTCAGAAGCAAGGAGGGGCGGAGGGCGGCCCGTGTGGATAGGAAGCAGGGAGTGCGGGGTGGTGGAGACAACGAGGAATGCTTTCGAGCTTGGAAGCAGCAGGTGTCTGGGAATGGGACTGCGGCCCAGGCAGACTTCCAGCGAGCGCTCCAGCTTGCTGGCACAAGGCAAGGATCTGGCTGAGCACAAGAGGCAAGTTTCAACGACAAAACCCACTGTGGAAAAACCTCAGCAAATGCGCCACGGTCGGGGACCACGTGCTCATAGAAAGGCCGGGGGGCGGCTGAGAGGAAGATGCCCACTGGGGAAGCCACATGGTCCTTCCACCTCCAGACCAGAGTGTCTGTCCCTGAGCAGGACCGCCTGGGTCTTGCCAGGCACATCTCCCAGGCTCTCAACTCACAGTTGTTTGTGGATGTTTCAGATGCTATTGCCTGCCTCCAGGCCTCTGTTTAAAATGCTCCCCGAACTCTTCTCTGCCTGACTCCTCATCCTCCAAGACCCATTGGAGTGTCAACTCCTCCTGGAAGCCCTCTCTGATGCTCCAACCCAGTGGAGTCCCTTGTTTTGGGGGTGGGGGATGCAGGCACAAGCACCAATCCAACCCCGGTTAAGAAAACTTGTTTCCACTTCTATGCTCTGAGCTCCTTGCAGAGAGTGGAGCCCCCACCTTCTCACTTTTGTGCCCCCAGAGCCTAGACAATGACTGGCACACTGCTGATCCTTGATCAGCCTTTGTTGAACGATCCGTACAGAGCCAGCCAAGCTCTGGGGTAAGGAGAGAAACTTGTGTGGAGAGATTCAGAAGACCGCCAGTGGTCACCCAGCCCCTCCGACAGGATTGGCTCTGTCCTCCTGTTAGTCCAGAGTGGAGACCTGTGTGGCAAGAAGTGGGGGAGGCAGGAGGGAGAGGAGGTGACTCCCTGGGGGTGGGGCAGGGGGAGTGCTGAGCAAAGATGGCAGAGGGGCTGGCCTCATTAGGAACAAAGGAGGGGTGACCTCAGCCTCCACGTGGAGGACAAGAATCCACATCTCCCTGCCCGCGCCAACTCAGGGGGTCTCAACACAATGAAAAGGCCTTCACTTAGCCCCTGACGTGTCCGTGATGTTTTGGGCAATGGTGTCATCGTAACTGTGTAGCCTGAGTTGCTGAGTGACAACAGAGCTGCCTCTATTCCCCCAACCTCTTAGAGGAGAAAGCTACTAAAAATACACCTGGTGTCCTGGGCCCTACTGCCTTGCCTCTAATAACAGTTGGCGGCAGCCAGAGACTGCGCTGTGCTTGACAGAAGCAGATCATTTATAAAACATTAGCATTTCTCGTACTGACATTTCGCTCCCATATTACAGGACTTACTAAGTCTTTTTTAAAAAATTTAATAAAGTGCTTAGACTCTTGATTTTCCCACTGAGGGCCTTACTGTCTGAAGTTGGAAATGAAATCAACAACATAACAACATCCTTGGGTTCTAGGGGACAGCCAGGCCCTGGCACTGAACACAAGAGGCCTGGGTCAGAGCAGGCAGACCACTGGGGAACAACTGCAGGCTGAAGATTATTTGTTCTGCACTCACTGGACTCCCTTTAGTGAATGTTCCAAGCCTTGTACTGAGGATTTGTCCAACCAGGCCTGAAAACACAACCCTCCTCTTTTTCTATCTGGGGAATGCTCTCCTTTCTCTGAAGCCAGAGAAGCAAGTGCAGCCTCCAGGCCTGTCCACTGCTGTCTGGGCTGCTCCCTGGCCTCCTGGGAAACCCTCTGGGCCAGGAACTGACTGTTCCCTTCCAGTCGCCACCCTGCAACCCCCTGAGAATCAGTATCTCAGCAGCTGAGGCTCTTAGGAGCAGGCTGGGAAGGATCCAGGACCAGCCTGCTCTGGGGGAAGACACAGAGATGGTATTGATCCAGTGCAACCAGAATGTGGGGAATGAATCGTGTTCTGTTCGGGTGAGGGAAGAACCATGGCACAGAGGATGAGTGTGTGTGTGTGCACGTGTGTATGTGCACATGTGCATGTGTGTTCATGCTCTGGCGTGTCCCTGTGAGTCAGTGTGCCCCTGCTCCCCACGGCTCCACCCACCAACAAACATGCTGTGTTCTGAGAGCTGTGCCCGGCCAGGCTCACCCACCCACAAAAGCCCAAGATCTGCCTCCTGTCAGGAATGCGGGGTTAGAAAATGAAAAACAGGGCTCTTGTCCAAGATAATTTTTATTATTATTATTTTTCTCTCTTAATTGGATTCAGTGTTTCTTGCTCCTCACACACATCCTCTCTGGTGGGGAATTCAGGTTTGTGCAAAGCGCAAAAAAGATTGTGCCCACCGAGGCCCCTGGCCAGCAGCGTGGCAACTTTGACCGGAGCCCCTCTCCCCTGTCCGGGCTTGCCTGCTCCATTCCCTGCATGCTGTCTGTCCCTGTTCCTGACCCCTGAGTCTGGCCCTCCCAACCTCTGCCTGTACCCTGGGCATCTCCAGAAGGGCCAGGAGGGATGGGGCCTCTGGAAGGAAGTGCCTGAGATGGTTCTTAAAATGCCCTCATCGTTCCTCTTCTGCTAAGGCCACCCCATGCTCCCCTCCTGCCATCCTGCACAGGGCCCTTGCTGGGCCACCCACCAAAGAGCCTCAAGGAGAAAGTCAGCAGCTGAGATGTGCTGGAGGCCTGCCCCCCGTCTCCCTGGCCTGTCCGGATGTCGCTGGCCAAACCCCAGGCTGACGACACTGTCTAACTTGTTGGACTAACACTGTGGATGCAGCCCTGCCTGCTGGCTTACAAATCCCAAAGCCCCTTCCTTTGCCTTCTCTGTCTCGCCTGCCCCCAGGGCCGAGCTCCCTGACATCCAACAAGCTGCTTCTCACTTCTCACCCTGAAGCCAACAGCTACTATAGCAGGGGCGGCAGGGTACTCCAGGGTGGCAGACAGGCTTGTGTTTCATATAAAAACAAGATGATGCTCTAAGTATCTAAGAATATTGGTCCCCTGAAGTGATTCTTGCTGCCTCCCCTTCTCCTTAACCCTCCTCACCAACATCTTGCCCCAGGCCCTTGGCAAGCCCAGGTTACATGGGGACTATTGTTGCCAGTTTGGGATTCTAGACAAAAATTCGATAACATTTTTCTTGCTAGAAATCACCAATACAATCCTTAGTTCAGCGGATACAGTTTTCTGTATAGTTTATAAACATGAAAAGACATACACTTTGGGAACGAAGTGGGCGAGGGGACTTGTGCATCTGTATATATATATATGTAGAGTGTGTGTATGTATATAAGTGGACATAGTTATAAAACTGCACCTTCTGTGAGAACCTCATTGCACGTGATGAAGTTCTAAATTTCAGCCTCTGATGATCTTTCCTTTGGTAATTGGTTCTTGGACCCCAGCAGTTGGGCCTGGGTCTGCCAGGGTTGCCTGAGACATCAGGAATGAGAGGCGTTATCCCCGAGGGAGAGACTGAAGGTGGCATGGGGTGGGATTCAGGTTGACTAAGTGGTCTCACGCAAGAGCCAAGATGCCACCTCCTTGGGTGCTCCCAGACTGCTGGTTGACCAGCCTCTTGGGTGAGCCTTGTTTGTTCTTCTCTGAGTCCTGCTTCCTCCAGGAATGGCAGGGCCTTTCACGCCACTCCAAATGATCAGTATTCCACAGAGCCCAGCTCCCGTGAGGGGCAATTGTCCCACTGTTACTAATGAAGGATTCACTTTGTGTGCCTTTTACTGCCTTGCTGGAGTGGATGCTGTCTGTGGGTGCTCTGCGGGGGCTGGCCGGGACAGCCGGGTGAGATGCGCTAATCCCCTCCCGCCTAGGGCTGTACACTTTGGGTTTATAATTCACACGGCAGGGTCCAGACAGCAGCCAAAGCCTCTACCTGCCTTTTCCTGAAACCCAGCAGATCTTCCACTTGTAAAAAAAGAAGAAAAGAAATTCTGTTCCTTGGTGGACATGTGGCAGTGCTGGGTGCTGACGCCCTGGGTCCTCAGCGGAGAGTGACCGCCAGCCCCAGTATCCAGGCCAGGAGTGAGGCCCCCAGGGAACTGCCCGAGGAGGCCTGCTGCACCCCGCTGGGGGCACGGATGGGGGTCCTGCGGGCACACTTGCCCTTCCTCTTGGGCCGTGCCGTGGGCATGATGTCAAAGTTGAACTTGTGCTGGTAGTCAGAGCCATAGTCCTGCAGCTCGTGGGCCTGCTTCCCGGTGCCCGCCTTAGAGATCTGGTTGCGGTTCCTGTGGCTGGGGCAGTTCTTGCCTGGCTTCCTGGAGCCCTGCCGAGAGCCGGGCAGATGGCCGTGGGAGTGGCCCTTGTCCCTGGCTGGGCCGTGGGGTGGGTGGTGCTCCTTGCGGGCGGCCCTGTCAGTGGTGGTGAGCGTGTGTGACTTGATCTGGTGGGGGGATGCTGGCCCCGTGCAGTTCCGGAAGTCCTCGGCCCTCAGCAGCTTCAGGTCCTGGCCATGCCGCAGCTCGGGGGACATGCAGGGGACAGCGGAGCTGGAGCCTCGGAATCTCTGCAGCCATTCCCACAGGGAGCGCGCCCGGCAGCCACAGTCCCAGGGGTTGCCGTTGAGGCGGAGGAACTCCAGGGCTCCCAGGGGGGCCAGGCATTCGCCCTGTAGCTCCGAGAGGCTATTGTTGAAGAGGAAGAGGGTAGTCAGCCTGCGGAGGTCATGGAAAGCCCTGTGGTGGACCCACTGCAGCTGATTCTCGTGCAACAGCAGACGGTCCAGGTTCACCAGGCCCCGGAAGGTGTCCTGGCCTAGGCTCCACAGCTTGTTGCCGTGGAGAAACAGGTGACTGAGGTTGACCAGGTCCACAAAGATGTCATCCTGGAGGTACTCGATGTGGTTGTCCTGCAGGTAGAGGTACTGCAGGCTGTGCAGGCCGCCGAAGATGCCCGCCGGCAGGGCGCTGAGCCCACACTTGTAGAGGTAGAGGGCGTGAAGCTTCACCAGGCCCTGGAAGGTCTCGGGGGCCAGCGTCCGCAGCTGCCGGTTGTCGCCGAGGTCCAGCTCCTCCAGGTGCACGAAGCCCTCGAAGGTGTTAGGGTCAATGAAGGTGATGTTGTTGGAGTAGATCCACAGGGTGACCATGGCGGGGCTGAAGTGGCCCTGCTGCAGGAGGGTGATGCGGTTGTTCTGCAGGAAGATGCGCTCACTGTCTACGGGGATACCCTCGGGGATGGCAGCAAAGTTGTGCGCCTGGCAGCTGACCGTCATGGGCGCCGGGTAGCACACACAGTCCCGCGGGCAGCTGCCGCCCAGGGGCAGCTCGGCGGCCAGCAGCAGCAGCAGCAATTCCACACAGCACCCTGGCGAGGAGAAAGAGCACAGCCAGGTCAGGAGCTGCCCAGGGAGGTGGGAGGCAGAAGGGCACGCGGTGGAGACCAGCATAGGTCCTGCCTGGGCCCGCTGGGGCTCTGTCATCATCTTGCTCCGCGAGAGCCTGGCCCCTGGCTGGAGGAAGGCAGAGTCTTTGCCCAAGCCCGGACCCCAGCTGGGACTAGATGCCTCTCCCTACTCCTTGGTGCCTCCGCCTCTGCTGGGCTGGGAGATGAGTCTGGGGTGAAGGCCCTGATCACACCCAGACCTCCTCAGTCCTGCCCTTCAGCTGCTTAGCCCTGCCCGCTCCGGCTTTGTTACCCCGGAGGCCATGACCCCTGGACAAAGCCTCCCGTTCTCGTCCCAGCTCTGCCACTGGCTTACGCTACCTGCGCTTACAGAGAGTGGAACCAGCTCTTGTTCTAATAAAGTAAATATCTCACGTGGCATCCTGAGGAATCTCTTCATTCAAATGATTCCCGTGAACAAGCAGAGCGTGTACGCATGGTACTAAAGTTCACCTCGAATAATGCCTCCTTACAGTGTCTTCTACATCCTCAAATATGCAACATTCCCTCTGTGCCTCAGTTTCCTCATTTCTAAAAACGGATAGTAATAGGTCTCCCTGACAGAGCTGTGTGGATGTCCTGAGAGGGCACGTGATGGTGAAGGACCGGGGGTGGCACCCGCTGCCCCCCCCATCCCAGCCCACCTTCTGGTCCCCTCCCCTCTTCCTGCCTTGCTCTAGCTCGCAGGCTCTGGCTGCAAATGCAGGCCTTGCCTCTCCACTGTCCAGAGCATTTCCTCTGTAGCTTCCCTCTAATTGGGCATTAATTAGGCATTCGTTAATGGATCCTTAAAATAATTTATTTTCGGATGTGTCCAGCCTGTGGTCGGATAATAGCCCCGCGCTCATTATCGGAGCAGCCTCATTATGGACGATTGTCATTACCTGCCTTTTTCCAGGGTCGCAACTGCCCCAGGCGGCCCGGCAGGCACGCCAAGGTGGGGGGGACAGGCTCCAGGCCTCCAGACCCCCCTGGAGGGTTAGGCAGCCATCTCCTCCCTGCCCTGCTGGCCTTCTGCCCCTTTGCTCCCAGCTGGGCTTCATGGGAGAGCCAGGGTGCCCAGGGCCGCTCAGCTGAGTCCCTGCTGCCAGCTGCGCCAAGAGCATATGGGATGAGAGAACCAACCCTCGTGGCCACTCTCGGGCCTGCCGTGCTCCCAGCCTCATGCCAGCCACCCTCCCAGGCTTCCAGGCCTGCCGCTGCCCAGGTTCCTGGCCAAGCAGCCCTTACCACCACTGTCACCTCCTCGTTTCTGACAGAAACAGCATCGTAAATAAGTGACAGCTCCCAGCTGTTAGGAGTTATGGGCTCCCAGAGAGTGGCAGCTGCTTCCCGTCCCCCTGTAATCACCCGGCTTCGACCGAACGTTTCCAACACATAAAAATCATCGCACATAATTTGTTTTTTTTGCATAATTGGGCTTGGTTATGACTTCAGAGCAATTATGACCTCAGTGGTGGTGGTGGCACAGCTTCGAGGACCCTTTCTGGGCCAGGTCGTGCTCTGTGTGGCCTCTGCGGTGCCTTTGGTCACCCCAACCACCAGACAGCCTGCAGGCCAGCTGACCGTCATGGCAGCCGGGTTTGGGCGCATGGACTGCGGCTGCCTTGGCCTCCGTTTCTCCCTCCTTAATATGCATAGATGATTATTATGTTGGCCCTCTCCACCCAGAGGCTCAGATCTGGCCTCCAGCCCTAACTGCCCACCTTCATTGCCCAGAGGGTCCCAGTCCCACATAGGGAGGCAGGGATGTGAGGGGGAAGAGCCTAGGCTCCAAATGCCAGCTGACTCTCGGGGAGCCTGTGCACTGCCTAAGCCTCCACACCCTGGGCTCCAACCCACACTGGCTGCACCTTTTGCAGAGCTGACACTCCACATCTCCTCACCTCTGCCCAGGCTGCTACCTTCCAGGAAGTCCACACCTGCAGGAACCCCTCCCCAGGGAGCAGCCCCCACTCTGCCAATCTGAGGGAGCTAAAGGCAACCCTCTTAGCTCAAGGGCATTCATGGTGCCCTGTCCCACATCTCAGGGCAAAGAGGACAGGACCATGGCCATGCAACTTCCACTGGGTATCCTACAAAGACAAAGGCATTTCCATACCTTTGGCTGCAGCAGAAGAGATCTCAAAGCAGGAATGGGGGACAGGGATGAGCTGTGTCCGGCTTAGTGTTAATACCACTCAACATTTACACAGCTTACTGGAGTTTACAAAGTGCTTCTGCTTGTGCTCCTCTGATCCTCAGAACTACCCTGTGTGATGGGGTGTGGGGAGGGGGCATCGCTCCACCTGCTGCGTGGCTCCGTCTCTGTAAGGTCCCAGGATGGGGTTCTTTGAAATGGTCCCCAGGGAGACTGAGGGCCCTATGGAGAGACACGCCTCCCTTTAGATACAGAGCAGGTGCCTCCAAGGGACATCAGGGTACAGGGGAAACCAAGTGGGAACTCTAGTTTAGGTGAAAAAGCCAAACTGCCCCCAAATCCCAGTGTGGGCTTCACAATCTGGCTGGTGAATGCACTATGGCAGGGGAGGGGTCAGACAGCAGGGGTGGGGTGAGGCGAGATCCAGAGCAGAAGCCCTCCTGCCACTTCTCTGGGAGAGCCTCAGAGGGAGGCAGGGACCTCAGCGAAGGCTCAGCACAGGACCTGGCTCACATTCACTGTCTCAAGGAAGAACATGCCATTACATCAGGGGCTGGGATGGGGGCTAGGGCAACAAGGTCACAGGGATGGGCATGGGGCAGTCACTTCCTTCCCAATGCCCAAGAATGATGGAGGGCACCTCGGGAAACAGACTGGTGGATCCAAGACCAGGAAGTCCACGTTTCATCCCTCAGTACTGCCCAGATGCAGTGAACCCATGCCAGAGAAGCTGCCCTTCCAGACATCCCTGCCCTCCTACTGGGGGTGGGCAGGTCTCAGATAAGTCTGTTTCTGCATCCTGGAAGCTGGTCCCATCTCCAAGACCCTGGACCAGGTGTCCCAGCCAACCCCACCTGCCTCTGGCACTCCCTGCCAGAGCCAGTGGGTGCTCCAGCCCTGGATTGTCACCCTGCCAGGTTTCTTCCCAGGGAGAAACCATCGCCACTGTTCCTCCTGTGCCCCCTCCATGCGGCCTTTGGGAGCCCCGACCCACTGATTGCCTGATTAATGTACTAACAATGAGGCTCATGCCTTTGCTGTGCATTTTAAGACTGCAAATTAGCAGGGATCCAAGTCTCGAGTCTGTGAAGGAGCCTCACGTCTCCTCCTACCAGCCTTCTCAGTCCCTTTCTGGGGAGGGCGGGGGCTGCTCTGCCTGAGGGGGCTGAAGAAAGCAAGGCTGGCTCTTGCCCAGGCCTTCCTCAGGGTTGTCTTCCTCCTCCCCTGGGGGGGGCAGGGGACTGACTCCTCAGCTAATCCCAAACCTCCTGGCTTCCCACACGTCTGAGCTTACCAGCATCTCCACTGCCTCATTCATTCCTTCTTTCATTCAACCCTTGCCTCCTGAGCCCTGGGGTGTCAGAAGTGCCAGTGGGGAGGGCCCTAGATGAGCGGGATGGGGGTCCTCCTGGCTCACTAACAGATGGGGGTTTGTAAGACCAGGCAGTCTGGCCAGGTGCTGGGGCCCAGAGTAGGCACCTGGGTGTGTGTGGGGGAGGGGCTCAGGAAAGGCCCCTGCCACCCCTGTGCCACCTGTCAACATTTTTCTGCCACTGGTCAGCCGTATAACGTGGGCAGTTCCTCAATTTCCTGGAGCACTGAATTTGTGAAATGGGGATAAGAAGAGTCCTTGCCTCATGAGGGTTGCCTAAAGATTCTACCCAGCACAGCACAGTCAAGAATAGCTGCTTTCATAGCCTCCTTCCTGCAAACTCTCAAACCCTGCCTGCTGGGCAGGGACTGTGGGGGCCGGGGTGAGTGGCCTGAGCATGGGTAGGCACCTCACCTAGTCTACTCAGCAATACTGGTATGCTTATAAAGGGTCCCATGGGGGCCAGCCCTATTGAGATGGGTAAGAAGGGAAAAGCAATGGGCATAGTATGTACACAGGCACTGAGGTAGGAAAGAAGGTGGCGCCCCCATTTTACCCTGGCCCTCTCTCTCGGACTCTAAAACTTCTAAGGAGGCTATACGCTCAGCTCAGAGGTGCTGGGGGAATTCAGAGATGGGTGGCCAGAGAGCTCCCCACTGGGACCAGCACCAACAGGTGACGGTCTCTACCCAGGCCCAGGCTGGACGGCCAATGTGGTGGGGGCCCTGTAGCTCCTAGGAGCAGGAAGGGAACTGACCAAGAAGAACCCTAACTGTACCAGGTTCTTTACAGGCATCCTCACAACAAGCCATGGGAGCAGCACCATTTCACAAAGGAGGAAACAAGACCTGCAGAAGGCAGTGACTAGCCAAGGCCACACCACTGGCATCAGGGCAGTAGAGCAGGCCTCACCCAACTGACTCGAAATCCAGGGCTCTGGCCCCAGGTCCACACTGCATGGGGTAGGCAAGGTACTGGGGGCTGGTTGGCTTTTACAGGTCCCAAGGCTTCTAGCTGCTCACCCCACCCTGCCGCATCAAAGGGAATGCCCCTCCCTGCACCTAAGCAGGGAGGCCCAATGGACTGCCATCCCTGTGGTCTCACAGGCTTGGAGACTGGTCAGTCCCTCTGGCTCTGCAGTCCCCCTCCCTGCACAGAGCTGAGCTCCCCACGCCCCTCCCCCTGCTGCCCCCAGCCTTGCCAGATGCACTTCTCTAAGCTAATCGATGCTAACCCAATGCTCTCTGCTGGGCGGATGACAGCCTCAGGTCAGGCTGTGCTCACAGGGCTCCTGGCGCCTCAGGCCACTTGGCACTGTCCCTCCATGCCGCACCCAAGCACAAGCCACTTCCTGGTGAGTCTGCCCCCCTTCCCCCTCCCCGCAAGGAGCCCAGCCCAGCCCTGGAGACA